TATGACTCACCCTGACCAGGAGCTCCTCGGTGGATCTGAGGAGCGCTGGCAGTCTCCCCAACTGCTCTTCGAAGCCAACTGCTCTTGGGGGAGCGGGGAGTGAGTCTGCTAATCTGCAGAGTCAGGTCTCAGCACAGCTGCCTGTTCTCCCCACAGGGAATCTCCCAACAGGAGACACCCTCCACCATCCCCCATCCCCCAAGGAGTAATCACAATCCTCTCCCGCCCCTGCCTAGAGTCCCTCTTCAGGGGCCACCTGGCATTACCAGAAGCAGGTACTCAAGCACTTGCCCAACCCGCCCCACAAAGAACTCTGGCTGCTGTTAGGTGTGTAAGGGAGGAGGGGAGAGCGAGGTGGTGGTTCTTCTTGGGTGTTGTCATGCTGGTTCTGACTCACGGCAATGCCATGTGATAGAGTAGAACTAACCTATATGGTTTTCTTGGCTGTTGCCTTGACAGAAGCCATGTCTTTCTCCCTCGGAATGGGTTCACATGAACCACCTTTCGGTTAGCAGCCAACAGGACAGAACACATCCCTACTCCAGGAAGAGGAAGACCAGCATGTGGCTGGGGGTAGGCTACATACAGAAGTCTCGGATCAGAGCCCTGTGCTCTGGAGGCCATCCTAAGTGAAGAGAGGTACACCTCCTGAGGCTGGGGGCAGAAGGGAATGGGCACAGAATATGGCTGTTTCAGGTTCACTACCAATGATGAAATCCCTTGGACTCTTTCCACCCATTTCCCTTCCTGGAGTAGCCTAATCTAAAAACCATTCACCCCACTAATAAACCCCAGTTCAAAAGGGCATTCTTCAAATGTGCCCCATTGTTCTTGTGTGTTTGCATTCATTCGCTCAGCAAGTCTTTAAGAAGCATGTGCAATGGTTCAATTACCATGCTAGGTGCCTGAGTATACATACAATGAATGTTAAACAAATCGGCATAGTCCCTACCCTCCTGGAGGAGAGGGAAAGACAGGGGGTCAATTAAACCATAGTAGTAACCACCTGTGATTAAGAGCCGCCACAAAGGACAAGGGGAGAAGGGGTGAAATGGGAGTCAGGCAGAACAGGTTGCTGCAGAAAGAGCAGCGTGGCTGTTCAGTCCCTAAAAGGCCTGGGTTCCTCCATCCCTCCTGCCCAGCGGGGAAGGGAAAGGCCAGCCCTGTGGCTGGGTTACAATGTGCCCAACAGAAAGAGTCCAGGGCCCAGGCTGGTGGAGGAGGCAGGGGGCTTGCTGGCACAGCAGTGCGAATAGGACATATTTGGAGTGTGGGTCCTTAGCCCAAGAGCAACGAGAAGAGCTGCCTGGGTTTTGCACAAGGGCTCTGGATCAAGTGGTTGCTGCTGAGAGGGGCCATCAGTCTGTTCTTTTATTTTCAGTTCATTACTCGAAGTGGTGACTCTGTGGGACAGAGTACAACCGCAACCCGGGGGTCCTAGGCTGCGATCTTCAATGGATGCAGATTGCCTGGTCTTTCTTCCCAGAGCCACTAGGTGGGCTCAAACTGCCCACTCTTTGGCTAGCACCCAGGTACTGACCCACCAGGCTCCTTGCAAGCATAGTAGGAATGTCTAAAAGACAGTAGGGTGAAGAGAGATTGAGAAAGGGGCAGAGATATGGGGAGAGCTGGGAGGTGAATGCCGAAGTCTCCCAAGTGAAAACATGGTAGGCAGAGAGAAGACAAGCATCTGAGAGGCTTAGCAGAGAAGCATCGGCGTGCTTGGTGAAGGACTGGCTGCGGTGCAGGGAGGGCAACCAGCTTGCACTTGCAGAGAAATGTCAACTACCTCTGGCTGAAGAGGGTCACTGCGCTGCGGCTGCGGTTGCAGCTCACCCTGGGGACCTATTTTTCAGAATTGCTAGATAAATGCAAAGTCTGTCTCCTTATTGATGCCTAAAGTCATTCCTGAAAACTCTCATCATGTCTTACATTCTTTCACTCAGCTCCTATATTTGAGTAACCACTATGTGCCGGGGAACCAGAGGTGACCAAGGCAGCCCTGCCTTCCATGACTGTCTTGGCTGAGCCCCCAGGGGTTCCTTCCCCAGAGGGAGCATCCAAATCCTCCTGGTAGCAGTGGCCAACTCATCCTACTTCCTGCAACCGTCACACTCGCCACCAGCAGAAGCTGCACAAGCTGCACACACGCTTTCCACACAGGGCATTCACACCTCCTGCCAAAAGTTCCTGGCACCCAGACATATACGACAGCCTCAAGCCTCACCTCCCCAGGTCTCATCCTCACTGGACCACCCTGAACCTACTGGATGGGTCATCCTTCTACAATCAGACTTCTTTCTCTAGAACAGTGGTTCCCAACCTTCTTAATGCCATGACCCTTTAATACCTCATGTGGTGGTGGCCCCCCAACCATAAAACTATTTTCATTGCTACTTCATAACTGTAATTTTGCTACTGTTATGAATCGGCGACCCCTGTGAAAGGGTCGTTAGGCCACCAAAGGGCTTGCGACCCACAGGTTGAGAACTGCTGCTCTAGAATGTATTAATAAGCATGGGACTATGGTGGGTCCCCAAATGAGTTCATACTGACTTCTAGCCCGTCAATGAGATTGGTGGTTTCATAAACCTTGGAGCTATGTGTCTAAATTAAAATGAAATGAAAAACCCAACCCACAGGCACTCTAGCCACTTTTCAAATGCTCTGTAGTCACACAGAGGAGCCCTGGTGGCACATCTTGTTACACTTAAAGGTAGGTAGATAATCTGTGGGAGAAAGCATCAGTCTGCTCCAGTAGAGATTTAGAGTCTCAGAAACCTTAAGGAAAGAAAGAAGGTGAGAGAGAAAGGAATCCTACAGAGCAGTGCTACTGCGCTCTATAGGGTGTCACCATGAGTCAGAATCAATTTGATGGCAGTGGGTTGGGTTTGGGGGATTATAGTCACCGGGACTATGGCTACTGTTAGGTGCTGTCCAGTCAGTTCTGACTCCTAGGGATCCTATGGACAACAGAATGAAATACCACTTGGTCCTGCCCCATCCTTAAAATTGTTATTTTTGAGCCCACTGGGTTAATCCATCTTGTTGAGGGCCTTCCTCTTTTTTGCTGCACCTTTCCTTTATCAAGCATGGTGTCCTTTTCCAGGGATTAGTGTCTCCTGATAACCTGTCCACAGCCGCATCATCCTGGCCTCTAGGAGCATTCTGCCTATCCGTCTTCCCATATAGATCTGTTGGTTCTTTTGCCACTCCATGGTACTTTCATTATTCTTCACCAGCACCACAGTTCAAATGTAGGATTCTTCTTCAGTCTTTCTTATTCAATGTGCAACTTTCCACATGCATATGAGATGACTGAAAATACCACAGTTTGGGTCAAACACACCTTAGACCTCAAAGTCACACCCTTGCTTCTCAACACTTTAAAGAGGTCTTGTGTAGCAGATTTACCCAGTGCAATGCATCATTTGACCTCTTGACTGCTGCTTTGACTGAGCACTGAGTATGGATCCAAGTCAGACAAAATCCTTGACAACTTCAACCTTTTCTCCATTTTTCATGATGTTACCGATTTATTGGTCCACTTGTGAGGATTTTAGTTTTCTTTACAATGAGTTGTAATCCATACTGAAGGCTGCAATCCTTGATCTTCATCAGCGTTTCAAGTCCTCCTCACTTTCAGCAAGCATGGTTGTGTCGTCTGCCCGTCACAGGTTATTAATAAGGGGCCTTCTACCAATCCTGATGCTTCATTGTTCTTCATATAATCCAGTTTCTCTGATTATTTGCTCAACATATAGACTAAATAAACGTGATGAGAGGATACAACCCTGACTCACACCTTTCCTGGTTTTCAACTATGCAGTATTCCCTTGTTCTGTTCATATAATTGCCTCTAGATCCATGTACAGATTCTCCATGAGCACAGTGTTCTGAAAGTCCCATTCTTCTCAATGTTATCCAGTTTGTTGTGATCCACATAGTTGAATTCCTTTGCAGAGTCAATAAAACACATGTAAATATCTTTCTGGTACTCTGCCCTCAACCAAGATCCATCTGACATCCCTTGTTTCATATCCTCTCCTGAATCTGTCCTGAAGCTCCCTATCGATGTATTGCTGCAATGGCTGTTGGATCATCTTCAGCAAATTTTACTGTGGTATCCATCTACAATTTGCACATTCTGTTGAGTCACCTTTTGAATGGGTGCAAACACGGGTCTCTTCCAGTCAGTTGGCCAAGTAGCTGTCTATATTTGTTGGCATTGTGGAGTGAGTGCTTCCAGTGCTTCATCAGTCACCACAGTGTGACAGACAGTACGTGGTGGTCGTTGACAGTAAGGTTCTGCGTAAACTACATTTGCTAAGAAAGTTTCAAAATAACCTTGTGACTTTCTCGTGGGCGAAAGAGAAATCAAAATTTTACAAGCGACTGTGGGCTGTGACTGTCTTCCTTTTTTTAATATACTCAGAGAGTCAATATTTGGCAACTGTAAATGAAGACATAAGCTAACTGATCAAACTGAAGGTATTAGAATATTTTATATCTATTTTATAAGCAAGTATGTAAAGAGGCTTATAAGAAATGTAAGACAGAGTATGAATGTCAACTGCCAAATTCCAGCCCTGTTATTTATTATCTAGAACACAAATTAGGGTCATATCTAATCTAACCACATGATTTTACAGTTCAAAGAGACACTTACCCTGTAACAGAAAACCCACCAACAATGCTTCAAATGTGAAACTGTCTTCAAAGGAAGCTTAGCACTAGATTAATAATCTGTGACCTGGAGTAGTAGAGACATGGGTGGGGGTCCACCATAGTATTCGCTCTGCTTTTGTGCATTTAACAAATTTTTTCCAGAATGAACATTTTTTTAAAAAAAGAAGCTACTGTAATTACATACGCATTAGGTCAGTTCTAAAAAATACTTCCTAGGCTAATTATAAACTTTAATATAGCTGGGTTCATAATGTTTTACCAAATATCCCAAGCCAGGCCAAAGCAACTGACCGTGAGGGGTGGTTACTTACCTGGAGGGTAAGAAAGTGCCACCTCAGACCTCCTCAGAGGCAGCGGGGTTCAGGAGGGTACTGCACTCAGCACCCCTGCCTCGCCATAGCCCATCAGCTGATAATAAGGTTACTGGCCTCTGCCTCCACTTTACTGAAGGCTAAGGCGCACCTCCCACGTCCAGATCGGAAGCAGCAGACTGTGGGAGGGAGCAGCAGAACAGCCCTTCTGGGCAGCACTTGCTGCACCTCCCACTGCGAAGGCTCCTCCCAGCAGCTTCCCCCACGTCCTGGGGCCTAAGGACAAGTGCCTTCCACAGAGTCCAACGCCCAGGGGACATGCAGAGTGACCATTTTCTTTTTGCCTTCTGCCCTGTGGTTACTTTACAAATGGAGGGATAAAAAAAACATTGCCAGTGACCAGAGGGACATCCACCATTCCATACCAGCTCCCCACTGCCCTGCAAGCCTGCACACCCTTGCCCACGGCCCCTCCTGCTCCATTGCTCTCAGGGCCTTCCAGACATTAGCTCACCCACACAACTCCAAGGAGGGAAACTGAGGCACTGAGCGGTGAAGCAGGCCCAGCTCCAGAGCCCCAAGCATCCCCAGGTGACCTGCCCTCCAAGAGCCAGGGGCATCCAGGCCTGCCTTCCACACCCACCCTTCCCTCTTCTTGGCCCTCCCTCACTGTGCTCCAATCACACTTCCCACAGGCTTCTCTCTGTCTCTGTCTCAATGTTCTTCCCAGCAATTCCCACTGCTGGCTTCTTCCCTTCGTCCATTCTCGGGCTCCCTGTTTTTCTCCCACTCACCACAATTTAGTATGTATGGTGCCTATGTCGGCTGGTTTGTTTGTTGTCTAGACAAGATAATGTGCTATATGGGGACCACACTGAGCAGGCACCATATCTGTTCTCCTCGCCGCCAGCTTCCCAATGCTGAGTACAGCACTTGGCCCCAGGAGCTGTGCAGACACTTGTTGAATGGCTGATGGTTGTTCAGTCAGTCATTGCCGTGAGAAGAGTCTGACATTCCAAATTTCAAGCCGCAAATGATAAATATAACCCTTTTAGGAATACTGCTTTCAAAGGCAGCATTAAATGTAAGAAAGGACTTAAAATTGAATAAGAGAATAGGCGAGCTTATGTCAGCCTTAAATAGCAAAAGAGAAAGGAGACTCTTCTCAAGCATGCACTGTGATCCTGTACGGGACAATTCAAGGGTGGCTTTTCGTCACAAATCCTGAGTAAGTTTCTGACTGAGAACGCCTGTGGCATTCTCAATGGCTAGCATAAGCCAGCAGGCTCTCCATTTGTTGGTTCCTATAATCTTCTTAGGGGAAAATCCTTAGAACCAATATTCCAGGCGAATCTGGCAGACAAAGGTTGCCTCACTATGTTTCAAAGCTGAGCCCGGTTTTCCATTGCACAAGGAAAGAGGTCCTTAAGCTCACGGTGACCTGGCCTACGATGGCAGCTTTTGTTCACCAAAGGAACTCACCCTTTCAAGGACTCACACAAAGCCAAACTCAGTCACTGAGTCGATTACCACTCAAAGCAACCCTAAGGGCCAGGACAGAACTGTCCCTATGGGTCTCCCAGACTGTAAATCTTGATGGGAGCAGAAAGTCTCATCTTTCTCCCTCAGAGTGACTGGTGGTTTCGAACTGCTGCCCTTGCAGTTAGCAGCCCAACGTGTCACCTACTATGCCACCCAGGGCTCCTTTTCTACAATAACCCACAAAGGGTTATTCTTTAGACTTTACAAAGGCCTCCAAGCCATAGTAGATGGGAACTCAGAAATTTAAACAGGTGTTAACACACAATTCTGGGCTAAGATGCTCCCAGGGCACATGGCTTAAGAGGATTCCACTAAATAGGTCCACCTGAAAGCAACTAAAGGTACTGACTGGGCAGCAACAGGAGGAGCTTGAGTTCCAACACCAGTTCTGAGTCCTTGGTCATGCTGGGTGACCTCAGACAAGTTACCCAAGCTCTCTGAACCTCAGTTTTCTCATCTTCAAATAGGATGGGTTCCCCACCAATACCCTGCTATAACGGCCATCCCATGGGTTTCTGCTTGACAGCACAAACAGCCAACCGAGGCTCCTAGCGTCCGTTTTCAAGCATCCTCTCCTTCCAGCCATTTAATTTCTCAGATCCCTAAGTTAACAAACTCACATTATCTATGACACTGGTTTGGAGAAGGGAGGGCCTGAGAACTCAAATCCAAGTCCTCAGTTTGAAAAGAGCCCTTGCAGCCCAGAGTGATCTAATGATGTGCCCAAGAACCTGGGGATACAAACAAGCAACCCCCCAGGAATGAAAGCCAGACCTCCTGACCCCAAGCCCCGTGCTCCCTCTAGCCCACTTAGTGCCAATTGGGCTTCTGTGCCCACACGACCTCCTGGTGTCATTCTGACTGCACTGTCTCCCCAAGGATGTTTCAGACAATGCAATTACGCATTAGAAGGGGTCTGGAAAGGGGATAGAGCAGAATCTTGCAATAGAGCCTTGAAATGCTTTAAAGCTCACCTGGAAGAGTATTCACATCAGCGTAGGCTTCCAATCTTCTCTTATCGATGTTTATTTTTAACTTGGGATTTAAAGTTGACAAAGACCTTAATGAACAGGCAAGACAAAAGGAGCTGCCTGTTCATGGCTTGTTAGCTCCTGAAGTTAATGCTTCTCACGGGGCAAGAGTCAGCCAAAGGATAAACTCCAGGCAAACTGGAAAACAGTCCTCCTGCCACAGAGCATGGATCACTGCCTGGGCTTCAGGGGCAAATCTGACACCATGCTTCCCAGTTTTACCCCCAACCACCTGCCAGGAAACTCCACCATTTGGCAAGACCAACTGTGACAAGGGGTTCTCTACAAACCAGGGCCACGTGTGGCCTCACTGAGTCAGCACAACTCCCCACGCGCAGAAGACACTTCTGCATTTCATTGCAACCAAGACCCTACTGACTGTAAGGCCTGTCACTGTTATACACTGTCATACATACAAAGAAAGGAAGCCCTGGCCATTATCCATTAGAACACTCACCTCCACCCCCACCCCTACCTCCGTCCCTGCCCCCGCCCAGAAATGTTAGGCTGAGACAAATTGTACTGTCCTACAATCGATGAAACATATCGTCCCACTTTATAGATAACAGAAATTGAGGTTACAGAAAGTCATTTGCCCATGGCCACACAACTGATAAGCGGAAGCACCAGGATACAAGGCTAGGGTAATTCTACTTGCCTTTACAGGGTAATTAACGCAGACTTCCCTATAGTGAGTGGGTTGCCTTAAAAAAAAGTACCAGGCAGAGGGGCAGGACACAGTATGGACCCTGGCTCCCCCCAGGTGCCTTAGTAACTCAGTATGGCCATTCTCCCAACACCCCTGCACCCGACTCTTCCTTTGTCCAAGGAGAGGACAAGGCCAAACCACCTCTAATAAATGCTGGCCTTTCTCCTAGAAACAGCACGTTCCAAAATCAGAAAACCCTGGGTGGAAATCCCTGATCCATCCTCTAACCAGCTTGTGACTTTGGGCAAGTTACTCAGCTGCTCTGAGCCTGGTTTCCTCTGCTGTAAAACCAACCCCCTTAGAGGGCAGGCTGCTTGGGAACTGACACAAAAGGCCAAAGTAGGCCCCGGTAAAACTGCAGCACCCCAAATGCTCTGCTCTATATAAAGGAGTCCCAGCGTCACCGCCACCCCTTAACATGTCCATTTAAAACAACTGAACCAACCCCTGCTCACAAGGAAGTCTTCTTCACAATCACCTTTACCTGCTGCAAGTACAGTTTTGTTTTTTTAGATATGCCTTTTGAATCGCCTGCCGTTGAGTCAATTCTGACTCACAGCAATCCTATAGGACTGGGTAGAATGCTCTGTGGGTTTCTGAGACTGTTAATCTTTACACGATTAGAAGTCTCCGTCTTTCTCCAGGAGGAGTGGCTGGTGTTTGGAACCGGGTGACCTGGGGTAGCAGCCCACCGGGTAACCCCTTATGCCGTCAGAAGTCCCATGAACCCCACCGCCATCGGAGTCTGTTTCGACTCATAGCGGCTCTAGATGGGGTTTCTGAGATTGTAAATACTTTGGGGCAGGCAGCATCACCTTTCTCCAGAGTGGCTGATGGGTCTGAACTGCTGACTTGCATTAACTTAAAGCTAAATAAGAACCATCCAAGCCTGTCCCAACTGACTACAAATTCTTACCCATACAGATCTCATTCATAATTTGAAGATTAGCCTTCTTCTGCTTTGGGGCAAAATCAAAGAATAAAGGTTCCCTGTGACCTCTGCAAGTTCCCAAGAGGAGGTGCTAAGGACCATACAGAACAAAGGAGGCCCAAACAGAGGGAGACTGGCGCACAGAAAATGAACTAGGAACACCTGAAGGAGAGGGACTGTTGTTGACTGAGCTTCAGTAAAATAAAAGAATGGACTTCCAAACGTTAGAACAACTCAAGGTTAAAAAGGAATGACCAGGAACTTAGAGCCAATGAGAAACTCTGGCCAAATGATATGAGGAGGAAGACAGCTTTACAACTGAACCTGACACAGAAAACTGGTCTTTTAAGAGTCTGTTTGATCACCGAAAGTAATCTCCAGAGGAAAGAACTTGTACCCTGTGGCCTACCAGACAATGAAGAAATCCATCTTAGAGGCAAGGATTAGGGAACTTCGGTTCGCTTCCTTTGGGCAAGTCACCAGGGCACTATGCAAACACTAGCAAAGGACATCATGTTTGTCAAGCAGTGGGTCAGCAAAAACAAAGGAAACCCTCAGGGAGATGGACCCACACACCAGTCAGGGCCAGCAATATTCCACGTTAGACATCAGGTAGCCTCCAGTCAGCGCCAACTTGATGGCCACTGTCAACAGTTTTACTCCTACATTGAGGAATGTCCTGAGTGCCCCTCCTCTTTCTTTCCTTCCCCACTGGCTTCCGAAATTCCTCAGAAGACAGTATGTGGAACAAACTTCCAACCCCTGGTTTTTTCCTTCACTATACCCACAAGGCCTAGCACTGTTTC